AGCACCGACACGTGCAGCGGCGACGACGTCGGCGACGCCGGCAGCAATGCCAACGGCCCCGATGGCAACAACGGCTTTTGTTAAAATCAAGCCGACAAACCCGCCCCCGTTTAACCCAAGTGACAAGTTCGTCACTGTTTCTGCATGGTTGTTCGGCGTGGAGGTGTTTTTTAATGCTGCCATGATTTATGACGATGCCACCCGCATTAATTTCGCAGTTTCACTGTTGCGATGACCTGCGCTGGAGTGGTGGAGGCGAACGCTGCAGCACGAAGGGACTTCGGCAGGAATAGCACGTGCGAACGACGGGACTTCAACACCTGTCACGCATCAGGCAGCATCAATTTTTGGGACGGCTACGATACGCACATGGAGGGAGTGGGGCGCCGCCTTGCGAACCAGGTTCGAGCACATATCCGCCTCGGACTCTGCTCGCATGAAGCTGCGTGCCTGGAAGCAGCTGACTTCGGTCCAAGACTACACCAGCACGTTCTGCAACTTGGCGGATCAAGTGGACGATATGAGCGACGCGGAGCGGTTGGATCGCTACGTGGCGGGCCTGAAATACGAGATACAGTACGAGGTCCGAAGAACCCGGCCACGCAGCTTCAACGACGCCGTCCAAGAAGCCGAGTCAACGGATGCACTCATGCAGTGGGCGAGATCGAGCTCCCGGGAGGGCCCTCGATTTCGTGGATCGACTCAGCAGCCCACGATCAACGGCGTGGATGCACCAAGCCGAGCCCTTGGGCCGTGCTTTTTATGCAACCAGCTGGGCCACCTGAAAAAAGACTGCCCGAGGCTTAAGCAGGGGAAGAAGAACGACGGAGAAGGGTCGGGAAAAGATACGAGTCAGTAGCAGAAGGGTCACCTACTGACGAGACCCTGTCGCCCGACAATACCATCCACACCGGGTCGTGGTACCGATCAGAGCCATCGACCAGAACCGGACGAATAACGTGGGTGAACACGTGGACTACCCTGTGCTGGTGGTAGGGAGGGTTAACGGTTATAAAATAAAAATATTCGTTGACGGTGGGGCGAGCCACAGTCTCGTCAACCTAGCAACGGCCAAAAAAATGGGGGTGAAGCTGACTAGGTGTCTGCCGGAGATTGATGCAAGGCTGGTGGACGGGACACCACTGGCCATCCGAGATGAAGCGCGAAGAATTCGGATACAGTGTGGCGAAAAATTCGGGTTTGGCATGAAGATGTTGGCGACGACGTTGGACGGCTGCGATGTGCTACTGGGAAGAGATTGGCTGCAGCGGTTCAATCCGACGATCGACTGTACAACTGGGGCGTGCGTTGTGCGAGGATACGGAGGGAAGACGACGCTTCCGAAATGGACGGAACCGGAGCCGGTGACGACACGTGTCAACGCGGTCAACATGGCGCGAGCGATGAACAGTGGAGCTCAAGCTTTCTTGGTGCACCTGTACGAGGTGACAGCTTCCGAGAAAATCGCGGACATCGACACCCTCTGCGCAGCAGTCCCCGAGGAATTGGCGAGCATTATTCGGAGGTATCCCGAAATTTTCGCGGATGACCTCCCGGACGGCTTGCCCCCCCAACGACCTGAGGATCATCGGATCCAGCTGGAGTCCGGCGCGCAACCTACTGTTCGGACACAGTGGCGGCTCAGCCAACCAGAGCTCGCCGAGTTGCGGGCCCAGCTGGATTACCTGCTCGCCAAGGGATTTATCCGGGCAAGCACGTCGCCGTTTGCAGCGCCGATACTGTTCACACCGAAGAAGGACGGGGGCCTACGCATGTGCATTGATTATCGGGCGCTGAATCGGGTCACAATAAAATCGCGTTACCCGATCCCACGAACCGACGATCTGCTGGATCAACTTCGCGGAGCCCGGTATTTCTCGAAAATCGACCTGCGAGGAGGCTACCACCAAATTCGCGTGTTCGCCGACGACTGCCCGAAAACAGCTTTTCGCACACGCTACGGCAACTACGAGTTTACGGTGATGCCGTTCGGACTGACAAACGCGCCCTCAACATTCCAGCTCACAATGAACGGAATTTTCCGGGACATGCTGGACAAGAAGGTCATCGTGTATCTGGACGACATCCTGGTGTACAGCGCGACAAAAGAGGACCATTTGCGGGATTTAGAGGAGGTGTTCCGGCGTTTACAGGGGCATCGGCTGATTACGAAGGGGTCTAAGCGCGAGTTTCTGAAGCCGGAACTGGAATTTCTGGGGCATGTGGTTTCTGGCGAGGGAATCAAAATCGACCCGCGTAAAGTGGACGCCATCGTTAAGTGGAAGCCGCCTTCAAATATCCCTGAGTTGCAAAGTTTTCTGGGGTTTGTTAACTACGTTCGCCGTTTTGTCCCTAATATGGCAGGAATAACCAAGCCGCTGACCGACCTGCTGCACCACGACAGTGATTTCAGGTGGGGGGAGAGGGAGCAGTCCGCCTTCGACGCCCTCAAAAACATTTTGGGTTCGCCCCCGGTACTCCGCCTCGCCGACCCATCTCGACCGTTCGAAGTCGTCACGGACGCCAGCGATTTCGCCGTCGGCGCCGTCCTGCTACAGGACTTCGGCCAAGGGCTGCAACCCATCGCCTACGAGTCACGCAAGATGCAGCCACCCGAGCGCAACTACCCAGTCCACAACAAAGAAATGCTGGCCATCATCCACGCATTTCGTACCTGGCGCTGCTATCTCACGGGAGCCGACGTGACAATTCGGACCGACCACAAATCGCTACAGTACATGCGCACGCAACCGACACTCAACCCGCGACAAATCCGGTGGTTGGACTTTCTCGAGTCCAATTTTCGGTACACCATCACGTACAAGAAAGGCGCCAACAACATCGCCGACGCCCTCACCAGGCCATCCATGCAAAACGCGGCGGTGCTAATCGCCCACACCAACCCGATGCTGACGGGACTATTCACCCACGGCTACAAGATCGACAGGTTTTTTCGGAACCCGCAACAACAGGCCGCCACACCGCACGGCAAATACCACCTAAAAGCCGGTACGAACCGGATTTGGGTACCAGCATACCGACCTTTACGGGAGCTGCTGACGCAGGAGGTTCACGACTCCAACCTGTCCGGGCACTTCGGCACCGACAAAACACTGAAGCTGCTGCAGCGGAATTATTACTGGCCGGACATGCACACCGATGTGCAGCGCTACGTGTCAACTTGCCCGACCTGCCAAGCAATGAAGTCGTCGCGACAAAGGCCAGCCGGACTGCTGCAACCCCTCGCGCCACCCGAACGACCGTGGCAACAGGTGACGATGGATTTCGTCACGGGGCTCCCAGCTGGCACGAGTGGCAACGACTCGGTAATGGTCGTCGTCCATCGCCTAACGAAAATGGCGCATTTCGCCCCATGCCGAACGACGATCACAGCCGAAGATACAGCCAAACTGTTCATCTCCACCGTCGTACGCTTACACGGGTTACCTTCGGCGATCATTAGCGATCGTGACCCGAAATTTACGTCGAAGTTCTGGCAGGAGACGTGGGCACAGTACGGTACCCGCCTGCGGTTTTCGTCGTCGTACCACCCGCAAACCGACGGACAGACGGAACGGACAAATCAGACCATGGAGCAACTGATTCGCACCAACTGCCCCGACATTCGCAAATGGGAAGATTCACTGCCGATGCTGGAATTCGCATACAACAACGCCCCGTCGGCCACGACTCAGCAATCACCCTTCTTCCTGAATTACGGGATAGACCCCGTGGTACCCTCTTCAACGACTGTGGAAAACCCGGTACCAAGATCGCAGCAGTTTGTCACGGAGCTGCAGACCGCCCGCACTAAAGCAGCCGAGTTCATTCGTAGGGCTAATACCACGGCCAGCCGCCAGGCGGATAAACATCGACGGAATTTACCCTTCCGCGCAGGGCAAATTGTGCTCCTGGACACCAAGAATCTCAAACTGCCGCAGCCCGCGAAACTACGGCCCCGATACGTGGGACCATTTCGTATCATCCAGATAGTGACACCTGTCACCGCGAAGCTGCTACTGCCCGACGACTGGAAAATACACGACGCATTCCACGTCAGCCTGCTGCGTCATTACGAACAGCCGCAGTCGCCAGCTGTTGCTCGGCCAACCATCACGCCGACCACACGCCCAGTGGCAGAGCCCACGCTGGAACCTTGGAAGATTCTCAACCATCGCGTGGACGTGACCGCCACCGGCCGCTCCGTGAAATTCCCGCTTCGCTGGAAAGAACGCACGAGCGAGGACGACACGTATGTCGCCGCTGACTCACTACTGGGACATCCGGTTGTGGATGCTTACCTGGCCCGCCGAGGTGTCTCGGATATTCACCACCTTTCTTAAGGGGGGGGGTAGTGTAAGGAATTTTTCGGATGGTCACACTGTACGCGTACAACCCCGACTTTCGGAAAACCAGGCTCGGTCCTCCGACCTCGCCTTCCGAGCCACTACCGCGTCGCTTTCGGGTTTCCCAACCCCGAACCTGCACCCAACCATCTCGCGACCCCGCGACCTCGGCCTAGCTAGCTTCGCTATATTAGTCCTAGGCCTCGTTGTGTTCTCAGACATTGTAATCACTTCCGCATTATTGAGTTCTGCGCACTCTTCCTTTCACAACTCATAACATGCAAACTCGGGATACTGAAAGGTTTCGCGATCGTAAACTGCGGTAAACTTCCGCAATCCTCCGTTCACCCCCCTTCACCCCCCCACCCTATACTGGAGTCCTCGTAAATGGAACACCCCCCGAACCCTGATTACTTGCCGCGTGAGAAACCAACGTGAACAGGCAGATGTGGCCATTCGCACACATTCAAGGCAGGTGCTCGCGGTGAACAGTGCTAGGACAGTAGGTCGTCTACGAAGCTCTACGAAGCGCCTGGTTTGGGACACACAATGGGCTGAACGCCATTCCATTTACGGGGCGCAACACGAACGACCATGCACAACCTTAAAACAAGAGCTGATAACCCTAAACGGCCGGAAACATAGCGCTCTGTGATGGATTTGGCGGGGTTCGGCCTGGAGCGAGTGGCGAGCCTGGAGGAGGGCAGCGACGCCGAGGACTGGGAGGAGCCCGCCCGCCACGACGCCAACGGCGCCACGGAGGCGACCGGCAACGACTCCGCTGAAGCCGCGTCTCCGGCCGCCACGGACCGCCGCGATTCTCCCAGTCGCGACGACTCGCAGTCGCAATCGCCGTCGCGGTCGTCGCGATCGTCGTCGTCGCAGTCGTCTAGGTCGTCGGCGTCGTCGCGGTCATCGCACAGCGACGGGGAGAGTGAAGATCGAGGCGCTGGGGACGAGAGGAGGGAAGGCAATGGGGAGACAGAGGAGGAGAAGGAAGAGGGGTATGACGGAGAAGGGATGGGAGGGGATGTGAAGGGCAGCGGTGGCGAGGAGGCGACGGGACGAGACCCGCGGGGTGATGGCGGCAAGGAGGGGGGAATGGCGGATGGGGGGACGGGGCTGGGCGTGAACCTGGACTTTGATGAGGACGACGGGAGTGACTATAACGATTCCAGTGACGGTGACGGGGCCGGGACGGGGAGTGACAGAAGCGGAGAGGAGTGGAGAGGAAGCGAGGGGGGGGAGGGGGGCGAGGGGGGGGGAGGGGGGCGAGGGGGGGGGAGGGGGGCGAGGGGGGGGGAGGGGGGCGAGGGGGGGGAGGGGGGCGAGGGTGGGGAGCAGGAGCATGCGAGTGGCGTGAAGCGGAAGGAGCGAGGCGCGGGCGAGGCAGCAGAGGGGGATGAGCGGCCGGCGAAGCGGATGGAGGCGGGCGGGGCAGGCGAGGCGGAGGGGCTGCTGGTGCGCGTGGTGGCGGACCACTACAGCCGGCGCGACAACCAGCAGCGGCACGAGCGCGAGGCGAGTCCCATCATCCACCTGAAGAAGCTCAACAACTGGATCAAGTCCGTGCTCATCCGCATGCACACCCACCCCGCCCGTGGCGCGCGCGTGCTGGACCTGGCGTGCGGCAAGGGCGGCGACCTGACCAAGTGGGCGCGCGTCAACGTGGGCTTCTACCTGGGCGTGGACGTGGCGGAGGGCTCCGTGCACGACGCCATGGCGCGCTACAACGGTGACTCGCACCGCGGCCTCGCCGGGGGGGAGGGGGGGGACGGAGACAGACGGCAGATGCGCTTCCCGGCGAAGCTGGCATGTGCGGACTGCTTCGGCGTGGCGTTGGACCGCGAGTTGCTGCCGTGGGCGCCCTTTGACATCTGCTCCACGCAGTTCGCGCTGCACTACTCCTTCGAGACCGAGCAGCGCGCTCGCTGCGGGCTGCGCAACATCGCAGCGCTGCTGCGGCCGGGCGGCATGTTCATCGGCACCATCCCCGATGCCAACGTGCTCGTGCAGAAGCTGCGCGCCTCGCCGAACCTCAGGTTCGGCAACTCAGTCTACTCTATAGAATTCGCCCCGGAGTTCACCTCGAAGAAGTTCCCCTCGGCACGGCCGTACGGCATCCGGTACGAGTTCCGGCTGGAGGACGCGGTGGACTGCCCCGAGTGGCTCGTGCCGTTCGCCTTCCTGCAGCGCCTGGCGGGCGAGTACGGGCTGCAGGTGGTCCACCACGCCAACTTCCACACCTTCATCAAGACGCACGCCGCCGTCGAGCCGCACGCGTCACTGCTGCGGCGCATCGTGGGCGAGCGGTGGCGCGAGGAGATGACGGCGGACGAGTGGGACGCGGCGTACCTCTACTGCGTCTTCGTCTTTCGCAAGGAGGGCACTGCTGGGGCTGAGGGGGGTGGGGCTGTAGGGGAGAGGAGGGAGGAGGTAATTAGGAGAATGGAAAGTGATGATATTCTGATTCTCTAATACTTCTACCGTAATACACATTTCCGTGCTGATGCAAAGTAAGGAAGAGGTGATGCAAAGTAAGAAGTTTCTAGCATGTCAGAAGTTTTTATATCAGGAAATCCACTATATTGTCGTCTGGAATGTCACATAAAACATGTGAGAGCTGAGACGAACTTCCAGAGTGTCTAATGTCGGGAACACCTGCCATCCAAATTCTCTTGATACATGTGCTGTGCTTCTGCCCCTCGCTAATCGTTCCTCCTAGTACCGCCGGGTGTCTGCGTCACTCACGCCACACGCGCCCCCATGGACGCTTCTCCCCTCCGTTCTCGCGACCGCGTCCCTCGCGCGTTCTGTCTTCGTCTTGCCGCTCCGCTGCTCCTCCTCCTCCTCCTCCTCCTCCCTGCGCTCGCGTGCCTTAGCCCTCCTCCCCCACTCGCCTTACTCCTTTCCTCCCTGTCCCTCGCCCTCCGCCCTCTTTCCGCTTGCTTCTCCTCTCCCCTTCCCCCGCCCCCGCCGCTGCTTCCCATCCCCACGGCGCGCCAGCTGACACGTCAGCGTGCTGAGCTGGCGGCGTTCTTCCACGTGGGCATGAACACGTTCACGGACCGCGAGTGGGGCACAGGCCGCGAGGACCCGCGGCTGTTCGACCCGGCGGCGCTCAACGCGACGCAGTGGGTGGACACCGTCAAGGCCGCCGGCTTCCAGGTGCGCGCAACGCAACGCGCCGGGCCTTGAGGTGCGCGTCGCGCTCTCGTAATCGTGCGCGCTGGGAGCGGATTGCGTTCTCGCGGTGGGGGCGGCCGTGTGCCGCAGGTGATGGCGCGAGGGGGGAGCACGCGAGGGGGGAGCGCGCGAGGGGGGAGCACGCGAGGGGGGAGCGCGCAAGGGGGGAGAGCGCTATAGTGGGGGTAGTGCGCAAGGGGGGAGCGCGCGAGGGGGCACGCGATGGGAAGCACGCGCGGTGGAGGGGGGTGTTTGTGAGTAGCTTTCGCTGGTGATGTGTGGGCGGTGGGCACGCGGCAGGGGACGCGGGCGTGGAGGGGACTGGCCCAACGGCAGGCGCCGTGGTGCTGTTGGTGCCGGGCAGGTGGTTCAAACAAACAGCTGCCCCACATCTTGTCTGTATCCCACTCCTGCCAGTCTCTAGTTATCCCAACCCACACATACCCACAACCCCCACACCTCTTGTGCGCACACCCAAGGTTCAGAAGCCCCTCCCGGCCTTCACCGTTTCTGCGCTTCTCCTCGACCGTCTCACCTTTCTCTCCCCTCCCACCCCTCTCGCCCCACTCGCCCTTCGCCCCACTCGCCCTTCGCCCCGCACGCCACGCGTCCAGCTGGTGGTGCTGACGGCCAAGCACCACGACGGCTTCTGCCTCTGGCCCTCCGCGCTCACCAACCACTCCGTGCGCCGCTCGCCCTGGAAGGCCGGCCGGGGGGACGTCGTCGCTGACGTGGCGGCGGCGGCGCGGGCGGCGGGCGTGGGGTTGGGGTTATACCTGTCGCCGTGGGACCGCAACGCGCGGGCGTATGAGGAGGGCGCTGCGGGGTACAACGCCTTGTATGAGGGGCAGCTGCGCGAGCTGCTCACCCGGTCAGTGAGCGGGGATGGGGATGGGGGATGCTTATGCGGTGAGGGGGGGGAATGGTGGGGGTTGTGGGAGGGATGGGGAGCAGCATGATGCTTGGCAATGGGTTTGGTAGTATGAGCGTAGGCAGAAGCGTGTGAACATGAAGACAGTGGTGAGGGCAGTGGTGAAGACAGTGGTGAGGGCAGTGGTGAGGGCAGTGGTGAGGGCAGTGGTGAGGGCAGTGGTGAAGACAGTGGTGAGGGTAGTGGTGAGGGCAGTGGTGAGGGCAGTGGTGGAAACTTCCTGTTCACCCCTTCACGTCCTCACTGCTGCCACTAACAACTCCTCTTCCCCTGTCCTGCTCCACCTCTCTCTCTGCTCCCTGCCTCCCTGTGGCATTTTCTCTCCATTCCTGCTTGTCACCTGCTCCTCTTTTCTCACTTGCTCCCACTCTTTTTCTCTTTCTTTCTTGTGACAACAAACCTTCCAACATACGGTTTTCTTCTCTCATGGTCCGCATCACCCTCCCATACTCCCTCTTCCCCACCACCAGCGCCACTCCACTCACTCCCGTGGTGAGGGTGCGATGCAGCACGCTCATAGGAGGAGCAGCTTGACCCCAAGCCACACCCAAGCCACGTGTGCCGCCCTCCCCTGCCGTCCCGCCTGCGCCCTGCCTTGCAGCTACGGGCCCGTGGCAGAGGTGTGGCTGGACGGCGCCAAGGGGGACCGCCGCCCCATGACCTACCACACTGCCACGTGGCAGGCTCTCATTCGGCAGCTGCAGCCGGCAGCGGCGGTGTTTTCAGCGCAGGGCCCCGACATGCGATGGGCGGGCAACGAGCGCGGCGAGGCGGGCGAGCCGTGCTGGGCCATGGTGAACGGCAGCCAGCTCACGCTGGAGGGGTGGGACACGGAGTGAGTGCTGAGAGGGTGACTCAGGTGGCATTTTGGGTGATTGGGGGGTGGTGCATGGTGAAGCGGCATTGCCCTTTTTCTTGGTTTCACAGCCACTCATCTATGCACCCCCATGTGCACCACCGTGGGTTTCCATGCATCCGTTGAGCCATGCATGCCATCCCAACCCCACACCCCTACATCCCACCCTCCTAACCACCCATAACCCATCCGCCACCTGCAGCTACCTGAACCACGGTGACGTGGCGGGCACGGACTGGATGCCAGCGGAGTGTGACGTGTCCATCCGCCCGGGGTGGTTCTGGCACCCGTCAGAGCGCCCCAAGCCCCCCGCCCACCTGCTGGACCTCTACTTCGCCTCAGTGGGGCGCGGGTGCTCGCTGCTGCTCAACGTGCCGCCCAACACCACGGGCCTGCTGCATGGGGAGGACGTGCAGCGTGTGGGGCAGTTGGGCCGCGCGCTCTCAGTGCTGTTCCAGGAGGAGGTCAGCGCCGGTGCTCGCGTGCACGCCAGCACCGTGTATGGCTGCGAGGGGGGATGGAGGCGGAAGGAAGAGGAGAAGAGGGTTTTACCAAGGGAATGGTTTGGGTTGGGGTTATGGGGATGGTGGGGGGGTTGGGGGCGAGGGAGTGGGTGTGAGTACGGGCCTGAGAATGTGCTGAGTGCTGGGGATGGCACCTTTTGGGCGGCCGAGGATGGGGTGCTGTCTGCCACTGTCCAGTTCGACCTCGGGCAGGTGAAAACCTTTCATGTGGTTCGGCTGGAGGAGCCTGTGGCGTACGGGCAGAGAATAAAATCGTTCACAGTGGAGGTGCTCGACCCAGACCCTGCTGGTGCAGCCGCCGCCATTCCAGCTGCCCCTGCGGCCGACGTTGGTGGTGCCGGTGCTGGTGGGTGTGGGCCAGGCGGGTGCAATTCCGGGGATGGTGTGCTGCCGTCCCTACCTGCGCTGCCGGGCCTGGGAGAGCATGCGCTCCACACACTGCATGGCGCCCAGGGGGCGGCACGCAGCATGCTGGGGAGGACAGGGAGTGCTGGGAGGGCGGGGGAGTGGAGGGTGATAGCGAGGGGCAGCACGGTGGGGCGCAAGAGGCTGTTTCGGTTGGAAGCAGTGAGCGCGCGGCATGTGAGGCTTGTCATTCACGATGCCAGGGCTGTCCCGCTGCTCTCCTTCTTTGCGCTCTACAGAAGCGGCGATTTGAGCACCATATGATCTCACGGGCCCTACCAGATCACTGTGCAATACACCAACTCACTGCTGCTGCCGCTGCATCTTCCACGCCAATCCCACATCTCCCCGCTTACCGCTAGCAGTCCTTTATTTGTGCTGTATAGCGGAAAGGAGAATAAAACCATATGCCTGGTTTCTTTTTCAGCATTTATTATGCAGGTCAAGTCAACATATGGTGACGTTTCTGCATGTATATATGGTACTCAAGAAGTAAAAGGAATGAAATGGTGTGACTAGCAAGGGTTGGGATACAAATGCATAGCCCTAAGGACGCGTGTCTTTTGAAATTTGTATGCAAAACTCGAGTTTTGAGTTGAACTGTACACAGTTGAACCTAGGTCGACCTAGGCTCCACAATATCGGCAGCCGTAACCCGAGAGGCTGCTCCTCAACTCACAAGAATCACAAGACACACGAAAGTTCAACTATCGAAGTTCAACTTTCCCGAGTCGCGGCCAAACCACGCTGGTTACCCGGTTTGCCACGTGTTTTTGGCGATGCCGGAACACTGATTTCCGAAGTCGCTCGTGCGCACGATGTGTGCTGCGACATTTGCAATCACCTCGTGTGCTGATATAACCAAGGATCCAGTGGATAGGATAGAATCTGTTAAGTCTGAGAGGAGACAATGAAGTCTCTGTAGTGACCTTGTTGAATAATAATTGAAGGAGAACAAGATGATTGAAAGATAGGAGTACAAGAGATTAAGTAGAAATCTAGCTAGCCATGTACTCTGAGGGGTACATTCCCTTATTAACTGTATTGCATAGCTACAGTAACCGTGACTATTGCTATCCTCGACAGTTACCATGTTGCAGTGAATTAACTGTCGCGCGGTTACTGGATTGTCAAGGGTCACGACCGTTGACTTCCTCAGACGGTTGACCTTCGGGTGACCCTCGACATTCCGCATGCTCTATATGAGCTATTGCGGTACTGGTACAGTGGAACAGCTTCGGGAATGCTTTATATAACCTTTCGGTTATTCCAACACTCCCCTTCATTCCTGAAGGTGGGCCGCGTGGGATTTCTTGGTGATCCCGCAGAGGTCGGCGCATCGTTGGTACTGCTGACGTGGCAGCTTCTTCGTCAAGAAATCAGCTGCCATGTCACCGGTCGGGCAGTACGTCAGCTTGACTTTCCCCTTGTCGATTTCATCCTTCACGAAGAAGTAGTGAAGGGCGATGTTCTTGGTGCGGTTGACGAAGCCGGGCTTGTTCGCGATCTTTATCGCGCTCTGATTGTCGCAGAGTAACGTGAAGTGCCCGTTCATCGTCACTTTCGCCTCTTGCAGGAGCTCCACCAGGTACAGTCCTTCGCGAACACCTGCGCTAGCTTCGATGAATTCTGCTTCTGCTGACGAGAGAGCGATAAATTCCTGCTTTTGAGAGTTCCAGGAGATGAGTCCAGCGGGTTGGAGTTGAAAAATGAATCCTGTGCGGGAGCGTCTGTTGTCAACATCTCCAGCGTGGTCGGCATCTACGTAGCCATGGAGCTGTAGAGTAGCGGTGAGGTTAGCTTCGTAGGTGAGACCGACGTCGGGAGTGGAGATGAAGTACTATAGTGCTCAGCGTAGATCCAGTAGATTCTCCCCTTCAGGTCGCTTCAGGTACTGTGCGAGCTGGCTTGCGACGTAGGAGAGATCGGGCCGGCACGTGATGGCGGCGAACAGTAGACATCCCAGCTGCTGCTGATAGAGACGATGGTTGTCGGGAGAGAGCGGTGTGGTGTCTGGCTCGTGGTTAGGAGGAGGAGTGCGATAGGGGGTAGTGAGGTTGATTGGTGCGATGGAGAAGCGCTTCGCGAGTGTTTCGGCATACTTGGCGGCGGAGAGGTGAATGGAGGAGGCGGACTGAGTCACAGTGAGGCCGAGAAACTGGGTGACATTGTGATTGATTGTCACTTCCAGTTTCTCTTTGATGTCGGCCTCAAACTGGTCCAGCAGCTCCGTGTCGTCGCCGGTGTAGAGGAGGTCGTCGACGTAGGCGACGAGGAGTATGAATTTCCCGCGCGATTCTCGCCTGTACATTCCGAGGTCGTGCGGCAGCTGAGTGAAGCCGAGCTCAAGGAGGACGGAATGGAGGTACTGCTGCCAAAGACGAGGCGCCTGCTTGATTCCGTAGAGGGATTTTTGGAGGAGGCACACGGCGCCATCATTTTCTTCGAATGCGTGCGGCTGCTCGACGAAAATGATGGCATCAACGGGAGCGTAGAGGAAGGCGCTGCCGACGTCGATTTGCCGGAGCGGTCGCTGTTTGACAGCGGCGATGCAGATGAGAATGCGTACCGAGGTGTGGCGGCCGACTGGAGCGTAGGTGAGAGTGAAATCCACCAGGTGTGTTTGCTCAAATCCCCGCACCACCCAACGCGCCTTGTACTTGTCGACCGAGCCATCTGCGAGAGTTTTGATACGAAAAACCCATTTGCCGCTGAGATTTTTTCTCCCCTTTGCCGATGACCGAGGGACCAACTTCCAGGTGCCACGATTCTTCAGCGATGCGATTTCGGCGGCCATGGCTGCTTTCCATTTTACACTGTCGGGGCCAGATAGGGCTTGGCGGACGGTGGTTGGTTCCTTGGGCGAAGTGTAGCGAACAGCGACGGCGAGGCCGAGAACGCGGAGACCGGTTTCGTTAGTCTTTTCGTAGTGAAGGCGGTCATAGTCGTGGAAGCTGGTAACTTCGACCACGTCGTCATCGCTGTCGTTGCCGAGGCGGAGGGTATCCTGCGACATGTTGGGTTGTGGTAACTCGGCATCAAGTGATCGGCGCGCCTCACTGTTGTAGTCATGAGCCGCGCGAGTTGTATCGTTAGGATCGGGTTGGTGTAGGGGTACGAATATCGGAGTTCCGAATTGGCTTGTGAGAGGGATGCTTGGAGCGGAGTCCATTGGGGTGACATCAGGTGCGTCTGCATCCTCGGCCAGGTCAGCTTCGTCGTGTGACGTGGCGAAGCTGCGGTGGCCCTCGAAGAGCCTCTCGGGAAGTTTGTCGGCTTCTTGGTGCTCCTTAAAAAGGGGCAGAGTCAGCTTCTCGTAGAAGATGCAGTCACGTGATTTCGTCACCTCGTGTGTCGCGTAGTCCAGCACGATCCACGCCTTGAATTCCTTCTCGATTCCGAGGTGGAGGCCCCATCGTGCCCGGTCGGCAAATTTTCCGGTTCTTGCAGTGTGGGGTCTGTACTGTACCATGCAGCCAAATACCCGAAGCAGGCGTGTATCTACTTTTCTGCCCGTCCATGCCCGGTAGGGGGAGTTGTTGTTTTCGAGGCTTCGCGAGGACAGCAAGTTGTGCAGCCGAACAGCGTGATTCATCGCAAATGGCCAATATTTTGTTGGGATGGCCGACTGCTTCATCAGGGCCCTCATCCGCGTGGCGAGGCTTCTGTTTGTCCGTTCTGCTACTCCTTGCTGTTGGTGAGCGTAGGGCAGAGACACCAGGTGCTCAATCCCCTTCTGCTTGAGGAGCTCCTTGAACTCGTCTGAGAAGAACTCCAGGGCTCCGTCCGTCTGCCAGGTTTTGAGTTTGAGACCGGACTGTCGCTCAGCCCGCTTCATCCACGCAATGAAGCACTCGAAGGCCAGAGACCTGCTGTCGGTGTTGACGGCCCAGACGTAGCGAGTAGATGCGTCGATGAAGGTAAGTGTGTACTGCTCCCCGTCGAGCCCCTCCTGGCTGAGCACCATAAAGTCGCTGTAAACCTTGTCCAGCGGCTTGTAGCGTTCATACCCTGGGGGCAAGTCGGGGAACGGCTGGTGATTGAGCGATGCGGTTGGGCAGACGATGCATGGCGGGTTAGGTGAGTCCGCGGTGAGGGAACCGTTTCGAGGAAGGAGGAGCGCGTCGTTGTCGAAGACTCCGGCCTTGAGCGAGTTTTTGAGCGTGGCGTGGGAGGGATGGCCGAGCCGTTGGTGCCATGTTTCTGGGTCCGCACGGTAACCGACTGTCTTTTGATAATGTTTTTGTCGCGCTGCTTCGTCGTTTGCCTCCCCTTCAGGTCCTGCGTCGGTGGCGGAGTCGGTGTCGGCGGCGAGTGCGCGAATTGCTTTTCGCTCCAGAAGCACGCGGGGAATACCGATGATGTCGTCGGTGTCCCCGGCTTCGACTTGGTCTCCGGTAACGAGCAGGCATTGGTTGGGCCATTCCCGAACTGGGAGTCTCTTCACGGGGATTCTGAAGTAACTGTATTCAGCGCCGATGACCTCAATTTCTTGTGGTCCTTGTACTGGCGGCTCCGGCTCCTCGGTAGGTTTGGGTAACTCTGTTGGTTCTCCCATAAATTCGTAGGCTTCTTCTTCTTCTGACTCTTTTGCCATGTGCTCGGGTGTGTTAGGGGCCTATTGATCTGGGAGAGGTGGACCTCCCTAGCAGGTGCCGCGAGTTGCCCAGTATGGGTCGACGACGGCAACTACCGCAGGAGGAAAACCAGCTGCTTCCGCGTGCCTTTGTTCTGCTTCGGCCGTGGTGTCCCATCCTCCTCTGGCGCCCCATGTGACTTCGGCGGTCTCTGCTTCTCCAACTGCTCCTCCTGCTGTTGCGCCAACTTCCTCTGCTGGAACTGCGCCCCTCCAACTTGCGGCTGCTTCTTCTGGAGTTAGTACTTCTCCCCAGGGTCCGAGCGCGGGCTCGGAAGTGTTCCAGCCCGGCCAGTGTGTCTCCGCTGCCTTGTTTTCCTCGGTTGGTTGAGTTGCAGGTCCTGACGTGCCGCTGTCTTCTTCCATTGTGGCAGGTCCGGTTTCTGCAGGGTTGGAGGTCGAGGCAGTCGGGACAGTGCGCAAGCGTAGAAGGCCGTCGGAGGCTGGTCGCTCGAGGTCCATCTCGTCGGGATGTGACCATGTTGGTGGCTCCGTGGCAGTTGTTTTCAGTAGCAGTGTGCGGTGGGAGTCGCCGGTGGTGCCCTGAGCCGAAAATTGCAGCACGAAGACTCCATCATCATCGATCGCCTTTCCGATGTAAGTTTCGTTGTGGAAGAGCTCGAAGGTC